TGTTGCCGTCGTTGTATTGGTCCTGCAGCTCCTGCAGGTACAACACCAATTCCTTAATGAGGTGTGACATTGCTGGTCGTTTGGCAAGTGTGAGCTTTTCTTGCCAGCAGAATGCAGTGGCCGCTTGGTCCAGATCAATTCTCCTTGCTCGGAGTTGACCCATAAGTTCAGTGGTGAAAACGGCTTCGCTGACGTGTTTGCTGCATGTGAGATGAATGTCGAAGCCATGTGCAGCGTACCGTAGCCAGTACGAAGACCAATTGTGTCGCAAAAATGCGACCAATGGTGCTGTTGCGATTGGCATGCCTGCTGTGCGGTTATGCACTGAATGTGGTGTAGATTGAATTTGTTTGGGGAGGTTGAGGCCAAAAAGCTGCCTGTTGTCCCAATGCTCCGGTGTTTGAACAAAGTCGTTTGGTATCTGGGGATTTGCGGGCGTGGGGTTGGGGTGTTGCTGTTGTTGGGTTGCGACGGTGGCTTGAGGTAATGTGTGTGATGAAAAGCTGGGGTTTCGAGTCGTCATCGGAGATGGACTCACAAATGTGTGTTGGGGAGTGGCAGGAGTGGGGGTTGGTAGTGTGGTGGGTGGAATTGGTCCGGGAAACTGTTGGGGTGGGGGAGGGGGTGGAGGGAAAGGTGGGAACGTGTTGTTGTGGCTGGAGATGTGAGCCGGACCCCAAGTAGTCGGGATTGGTGATGAGGTGTGTGGTGGGATATTGTGTATCCCTGGTGGTGGGGAGATCGGGTGCAATGGGGTACTGCTGGTTGAGGTTGCTTGTCTCTGCACGGTACTGATTGCTGTACCGATGATGCCTGTTGGCATTGTTGTATGCCACTGAGGCTGTGTCGGCTTGTACATGGTTGCACAGTGGGGCACTACAGTTGCCTGTGACTGCAAAAGCTGCACATGAAAAATGCATGATCAACCTGGTTGGGTTGAGCGTCAACATCAACTTGTGCGAGGCATCCAGCATGCAGCTGCATCGAGTCTTCTTTGGCTCAAAAGCGAGGTCGGAGCAAATGTCTTATTGCAAACGACTATGTGTACAGGGATTCAGGCCTGGAAGAAAAGTACTAAAGAGTAGCAGGAAGAAACAGAAGAAGAAATCAACATCACTGAATGAGGCCGAATCCAACAATGCTGAAGTGCCCGGAATGGAATCCCCACTTCTCCGGGGTCCGTACAACACCCTTTCGCCCCACGATGTAGGCTTCTCTGTACATGTCCCGATACGTCATCTTGTAATGCTGATACTTAGTCCGTATTGTCCCGATGACGATCACTCCCTGTTGGCCCTTGGGCCGCCGCGTACATTGATCGGTAACTATATGTACCGTGCTTTCCGACACCTCTCCTGGGGTCGCATTCCCGTATATGACGCAAGAGGGAATGGGTGGATAGGACTTGTCGTCGAAGCAATGGCTGACAGAACTTGGGCGGACCAAGTCCTCACGCATTATGCGTGCGGCACTTGCAATGTTCGTGCCGTGTCCGGCGGTGTAGATGTATGTTTCCCCTGGTGGGTCAGTGGCACTAGTGCCGAATGCTCTGCGAGTCTCACCAGCCCACGGGATGAATAACATAGTATGCACGCCGTCCGATATTGGCGTCAGCGTTGCTCCCAATTCGTTGCACGCTGAGCGCGTGCCCGACTGTAATACGGCATGCGCAAAATCGGTTAAAGTCTCCTGCCTGAAATCGCTGTCAGCAGCTATCTCGCCCAAAGTTTTGGCGAGTTTGTGCGCTTCCTCCAAGTCGACAGCGTGGGGGGTCGGCTTTTCATGATCATAAAGCTCAGAGAAAGGCGCCACATCAATCTGTGGTGGTCTGCTCTGTTTGCCCAGTTGTTCGAGGGTTGGCTGACCCGATGGGGCAGCAGTTGTGGATGCATCGTAAGTTGGAGCAGGTGTCCGAACAGAGCTGGGGGGAGTGTGCCGAAGCTGTTGGCGCGAGGATGTGCCCTGGCTTGTTGGGGGCTGCTGTTGTGCGGCTTGGCTGCCCTGGATGCGGAGGGCGATGCGCTGAACCTGCGAAGCCAATGTTTTTTGTGGGACCTTGGGTGGGGTAGGTGGCCTTTGACGTGGCTGTGTGGCTCTGTAATGCCACTTGTTGGTATCATCATCACGCACTGTAGAATAGCTGCGGAGCACAACCGAGGTCCGAGGAGGCGTCGATGAAGCACGCCTGGTGTCCCTGCGAGAACGGCTTCTGCGAGTGTCGCGGGATCGATGGTGTCTGCGTCGGCGGTGCTGTCTGCCGCTGCTTGCAGGCCGTGCTCGGCTGCGCGTGTGTCGACGGCGTCTAGTGCTCGCGGTGCGAGTCCTGCTGCGTGTGGGAGAATGCCGTCGTCTGCGTGGCAGCGGAGGATGATGGGGGGAAGTACGGGCTGCGAGCTGGTCAGTGTCTGCCGATCCCGTATCTGGGGGTGGTGGTGGTTGTGCGGGTGGTGCTGTGTTGACAGAAGGGGTATTGGCTGTGTTTGTTGGTTGTTGCTGTTGGGGCGTCATTGCCGGTGTCTGCGGGGCAGTGTATGCAGCATCGGCAGTGGGAACACTGGTGGGGTGGGGTTGTGGAGCTTGTTGAATTGTTGTTGGCGGCGGTATGTGGGATTGTTGAATGGGTTGTGTGGGAGGGATGTTGCAGGGTGCAAGTTGTGGTTGTGGGGCAGGTGGTGCAAAAGGAAAGTTGAATGTAGTAGGTTGGGCCTGATGCTGTGTTGAAGCGGATAGGCTCATGGGAAAAGCTGTTGGATGGGTAGGCACAAGTGCAGGATTCATGAGCGGTGTGGGTTGTTGTGACATGAATTGCTGGGGTGGTGGTTGTTGTGGCATCTGGGGTTGTGGTGTGCTGAGATGTGCGTAGATTGTCGGATGCTGTGGGATAGGAGCGGTGTGTCCACACGGCATCATGGGGAAGCCGTGTGTTTGCTCAAGAGGAATCGTAGTGGGTTGTGTTGGCAGTGTGGGCTGCTGAGTGGCAGCAATGCCGGTTGGCATCATTGCTGGGTAGCTTTGAGACTGCGGTACCCAGGTGTTCTGGTGAAATTGATTAAGCACCGGTCGGGCAGTTGGTGCATATGGTGTTGCTGGTGGCTGCGCGGCAAAATGTTCCGGCCACATAGCTGCAACGAAGCGGGTGAAACACACACAGTTGCACAAGCAAAGTGCAGGCTGTCCTGATTGTCCCTGCTGGACTGATTTGAGAGGTCGTAGACGGAGAGAAGGAAGGAAGAGGGCCGAGTACTCTCCGGAGAGAGCGCTGCTTCACTTGCTGTAGACATCTTTACCACGTCTGCACTCATGACAGATGCACATGCCCTTGCAGTCCCTGAGGAATAGAGAAGTGAAAAAAAAAAAAAACCCCGGGGCAGAATAGAGAGAACCTGTGCATTAGCGGCCGGTTACTGCACTAGACGTCGGTTACTGCAACTGCACTCATGTCAGACTCACATGCGAGCATCAGAGAGAGAGAAATAAAGTAGCATCTGGAGAATCTGAACGATCTGAACGAAGGCTGAACATCCGGTTCATCACCGGTCTCCCCGGAGGGTCACCACGGCGCCTTGACGGAAAGCCGTTGCTCTGGAGTCTCATAGACCCACGCTGATCACACTGATGGATTCGGCCAAGAGTACGAGTGCAAGAGGAAAAAGAGAGGCATGTTGTTCATGTTGCAAAAGCTTGTCAGATTGTGGCAACCGTACAACTTGTTTGTTGTCGAATCAACCGCCCAAAGTGGCAACTGAAAACTCTCTAATCTTGGCACAGGGGCCTTCTAATCGGGCTGGCACAGGGGCCCCAGCTCAATTTTGTGCAGGTACAAGGTGTGGCGTCCCAAACCTCTTCCCATGGTGTTGCTAGCTTCGTTGGCCAGCGTCACAACACCATGCGCTGGCCCCCTGCAACATTTGAATCGTTAAATGTCAAATGTCTGATTGAGTTGCAAAGCAAAATTGCAAGCAGTGTAGGAGTGACCCTCTGCTCCCATGTACTAGGGAGGTTCACACACACACACACACACACACACACACACACACACACACACACACACACACACACACACACACACACACACACACACACACACACACACACACACACACACACACACACACACACACACACACACACACACACACACACCCAAACACACACACACACACACACACACACACACACACACACACACACACACACACACACACACACACACACACACACACACACACACACACACACACACACACACACACACACACACACACACACACACACACACACCACCCCTACATGCACCTACGAACCCCACCTGCCCACGGCCACGACGGTCTGCTTCCGGATGCCTTGCTTCCTGGTCGGTGGCACAAGTCACACACACACCATCACACACCCCAAGCACACGCCTGCTCCTACCTACACGCCTACTCCAACCTACGAGCCCCACCTGCCCACGGCCACGACGGTCTGCTTCGAGATGCATGGCTTCCTGTGCACCGTGACACACACACACACACATACACCCAAGCACACGCCTACTCCTACCTACAACCCCCACCTGCCCAGGTCCACGACGGTCTGCTTCGAGATGCATTGCTTCCTAGTCGGTGGCTCAAGTCACGGCGCACACACACACACACACACACACCATCACACACCCCAAGCACACGCCTACTCCTACCTGCGAGCCCCACCTGCCCAGGGCCACCACGGTCTGCTTCGGGATGTCTTGCTTCCTGGTCGGACACACACACACACACACACAACCACACAACCACACAACCACACACACACACACACACACACACACACACACACACACACACACACACACACACACACACACACACACACACACACACACACACACACACACACTTGTCTTGCAAGCCGTAGGTTGGTTGGGCAGGGCCTGGTTGCAGCATGAACTCACAAGCTGGTGTTCGAAGCCAGGTCGGCCCGAGTCCCCCTGAAGCTTCGATCAGCTAGTTTTCTCTCGGGCCATGGATCTGGCCTTGGAGGAGCTGCTGGCGAAGCGGGGTGACTTATTGGGCGGCTGGCTCCGTGGGCTCGGCATTTGCACTGCTTCTGACGTCTGCTGGTTTTGGGAGGACTTGAATTCTTGCTTGTGCGAGCTCGAATCGGTCCCTTCTGTATCACGTGATGATGTGCTTCATATGCAGACGGTCTACGAGGTTTGCTGTGCTCGTGCCAAGCTCCGAACGCAGGCTGCGGTCCATGAAGTGGTCTTGGCTAGATCGGAATCTTCGCGACGAGGTACATCGTGGCAGCCTGTTGTGGAGGCAACGCCAGCTGTCAAGCGCAGCCGAGTCTTGATTCCCTGGAGAACACAAAGTGCAGCGGCTGAGCCAGCTATGTGTACATCAGGGAAAGTCCCTGTTACTGGCGTGGCCCAGCGCAAATTGCGTGAGCTTTTCCTGCTGATTTGTCAATACTTTATATCCTTGTCTGACTTGGGCATCCAGCTTGATGATTGGAATGATGAGCAGCAGGTGTGTGCGGCTGAGGCACTTGTCATGAGTGCTGCATCTCGGTGTAGCCCGTCACACGTTGGGCACGTCGCGGCATGTTTGCGCCGCTGGATTGCCTTTGCTACTTCGGAGCAAATTTCCATAGGAGACCCCAGCCCGGCACACCTTGCACTTTTCTTGAAGCGCATTTCACATGGGGGTCCTACGGCGGCTTGCTCTGTGTATCACGCTGTCGTGTGGTGCAACAGGCGCCTAGGTGCACGTTTCCCCATGGATAGCTTCTTGGTGACGAGTCCTTATAAGTGTCATAATGTAGGCCATAAAGCCAGGCAGGCACCGGAACTTGAGCCCTGGGAAGTGATCAACTTGACGGCCGTGGTGGCCGAGCTGACGGGAGCCACTCAGATTGTGGGCCTTTTCGTCTTGAGTGCAGCCGTGACTTGTATCAGGTTTAGGCATTTCCAACGTTCTAAGTTTGTCCGCTTGCATGAAGGGCCACCTCGCTGGTTGGAGTTTCGGTGCTCTATAGATGGGCAAGTCGAGGGTTAAGGGAACCCGCCAAGCCTACAATTGGGCTTTGCCTGAGGTTAGGTTTGGGGATTTTAGCTTGGTTGATTGCTTGTTTCGGTTTCTATCCAAGCATCACTCAGCCGACGCTGATTTCCTGTGGCCAGCCTTGTCGCTGAGGGCTTCGGACTTATGGCAGCTCTCGGAATTTTCGGCATTCCTCTCAGATCGTAAGATGAGCCGGGGGCAGTTCTTGCAGGTTTTCAGGGGATTCCTTTGTCGCATCCTTGTTAGCCCTGAGCAAGCTGCGTGTGCGGGTTTCAACCGTCTGCGCCGCTGCATGCCCACGGGAGCTCACCACCTCCGGTTTTCTGACTCGGAAGCTCAGGCGGTGGGCTCTTGGGTCGAGGTACCTGATGGTGCCTCCAGATCGGCGCCTAGTCACTTGAGCCACCAGCCGATGTCGCGTCACTATGCAGGCGATAAGATTACGACAAGTTGGCAGGCCAAACAACGCATTGTTGATGCTATTTTTGAGTGTTTCCGCAAAAGTGATCTGCCACGCGCGAAGGGCACACAGTTGCTGGAACCGGGGTGCTTGCTCTGGTCGCAGGTGCCACGGACTTTGTGTATGGTAGCGGTGCCTCCTGGTCAGGCGTCATCCAAGACTACCACTCTGGAGAGGACTGAGGACCCCTCTTCTGATTCCAGTTCGGGACCGGAGGTTTCTTCCGAAGCGGAGAGTGTGACCCCGGATGATCATGTGGTTATTGGCTGGTTCCTTCAGGGGGCTAAGAAGCATATTGTGCGTGAGATTGACCCGGAGGGTCGCTCGGTGCCTTGGTGCCGGGAGACTGCTTTCCTTCAGGACCCGACCAGTACGGGGGTTAATGATCCGAGGGCAGCGTCTTGGTGTGTCAAGTGCCTGTCTCGCATGCCGTCTTCCCAGGCCCAGGGAGTGCGTGCCCATTTTGACTGATGTTCCGGAGCAACAGCCTTATAAAAGAGTTGCTGTGTAGGCGGCTGCTGAGTTGCTGTTGGGAATTGCATGTGTGCACCTCAACACAGCTTGTGCATCGTGTGCCACCAGCCTTCGTCTCGAGCTAGAGTATTTGTGCAGCGATCCGGCCCCTGTGCCGCCTTGAGCTCGGTTACCATGGACCCGGACAGCATGACTGTGGATGAGATCCGTGAGTGGGTGGTGGGGCTCAGTACCATAGCCTTGCAGATGCTGATCCATCTCAGCCGCGAGGAGCTCCAGGACAGGGCCCGCAACAATCCTACGGCTGGGAATGCTCCTAGCCACCCGGAGCCGGCATCATCATCGACAATGCGTGCCGCGAATGTCCCGGGATACCCACCGCCGCCTTTCCCAACGGCCTCTAGCTCGTCGATGGGACGCTCTGAGAGGATTCGCTGTAGTCTTAGGTGCCCGAATTCGGTGTGCCACCGCACGTGTAAGCGCTCGGGGCCCCACAGGGGCCACTATTGCCGCCCCTGCCATGATGCAGGCCTGGGCTGATTTGTTTCGGCGGGGCGCTGGGCCCTGGGAATGCCAGGCCAGTGTTCTCGTTCGTCAGATCCAGCCGTGGGCCTTTGGGTATAAAGGGGACGGTGCGGGTCCTGTGTGGTGCCTGCTTGCTGCTTGCATGTATTCTCCATGGCTCGTTGACGCTTCACCCAATGCCTGCTGCGGTCCTGTGGATCATGAGGTGTTTGTACTTCCTGTCCTTTGGGCTTGGGAAACCGCGTGCAGCCATGGCAGCGCTGGCATCTAAGGTTGATGTCGAAGCCAAGGATCGCGGCCTACGGTCTTGCTTGTCAGTAGCCAATGTGCAGACCGATTGGCAGAACGCCTTCGTTAAGACGCATAAGGTGGAGTCTTTGGAGGATTTTATCTATATCATCGATGGCGCCACTTGGGAAGCGAGTCTCCAGGGACCACTTCAGGCCGTGCCGGAACTTAAGGAGTCGAGACTTATCTTGGCTCGTTTCAAATCGGCCTATGTGGCTGGCTTGGAGGCCCTTAAGCAGATCAAGCAAGTGGGCCTCAGTGTGTCTGAAGACTTGGAGCTGCCGATTCCAGAATCACGGTTGTCTCAGATGCAACGCGAGTGGGATGCTGCCTACGGTACAGTCATTGAAGCTCACATGGAGCCCGCGGATGCCCTCAAAGGGCGTGTCTGGCGTGAATTCACGAAGAGGCAGATTTCTGTGATAGAGATTCGCAAGGTGCGCAGCCTCGTCAAGGTGCGCAGCCTCGTCAATCAGAGCACTCCCGTTCCGACTGAGACGGTGAAACTGCAAGATTCTTCGAAAGGCTCTGTCAACCTGTCCTTTGCCAGGGAGTCCGAGCAGCCGGTCCGGGACGTTGTATCGTACTACCTTAAGCTCCGGGTTCTCATGAATGCATGGGCCTTCTGCGGCAACTTCTGGACCAAGGATGCTGAAGGGAAAGATGTGAAGTTCATTTCGCTCTCGGCCTGCCAGGACTACGCTGATCAGTGTCTCAGGGATGCCATGGCCTTCGGGCGAGGATCGGTGGATTGGCTACTTCATTGTGATTCCTTAACCCGCGGGAAGATGGCCGCCAAAGTCCGCCGTGGGCAGTTGCCAGGCCAAGCTCTGCAAGAAGCGCTCACTGAATGTCACCTTGAATGGAGATCGCCTGCCATCGGAGCGCTGAGGGATGTGGCCACTCCACCCAAGAGACGCATTGCGGAGATCGATGCTGAGACACCCTCCCCTCCACCCAAAGGGGCGAGGCTCCAGACCATCACGACGCTCAAGGGCGGGCTCAGGGTCTGCAAAGCATTTAACGACTCACGAGGGTGTAGGGACAAGCGGTGCCAGATGCAGCATGTGTGTGATGTCAAAGGTTGTGGCAGCCCTGACCATAACCGTCTCAATCACCCTGAGCAAGCTTGAGGACGGGACAGTTCCCCCCAGCCTCCAGGGGAGCCCCCAGTGGCGCAGGAGGCAGGTTCTGAGTCAGTGTGCGGTTCAGACCATGTTCTCCCAACCGAGGCTCATGTCGAGGTCCCTCGCCGAGCAATCCTGCCAACAGCTAGTGTCAACCGTATAGTTCTTGATGCTGGCACTGAGGCGATTGTCTCCGAGCATGCATGTCTTCAGGTTTTGCAGTCTTCTTTTACCCATTCGGTGCCCAACAGGCGCGGCCGCATCCTTCAGTCCGCCAGGAATGCCAATTATTATTGTGTCGGTGCATTTTGCACTGGAGACTTCTGGGGCTTGACCTCATATTGCAATCAACAGCCACAAGCAGTGCAGTGCGTCAATCGTCACCTGCGGCAGTTGGCTCCTGAGGCCTCGTGGTACGCCCTGGCCATTTCTCACTCGGTGTCCACTGGCGTCCATAGGGACGAGGCCAACGAGGCTGGAACTTGCAACGTAGCAACGACTCTTGGCTCCTTCACGGGTGGTGAATTATGGCTGTCGTGTCCCGAGGGCAGTGTCTTGTTGCCGCATCCCACTGCGGGGACGATGCTGAGGGGAGCCTTGCATGATATGCATGGCAAAGCTGTAACCTTCTCTCCATTCGAGTGGCATGCTAGCGCGCCTTTCGTGGGCGACCGATGGGTCGTCACAGGATACACACCTGCTGGAAGTCCGCAGTGCCCTTCGGGAGTTCGGGATAGGTTGCTTGACTTGGGGTTTCCTGTTGGCTCTAGTCCCCTGCCCCGCTGCCGTGACCCTATACCTCGACCGCCTCCTGCCCGTTGCATACGAATTGACTCGCAGGCGTCCTCAGGCCCTCCCGCGCACTGTCATTCTGTCTCCCAGGTCCCTTGTTCAGGGTACGCCTGATGTCGCGGCCCGTCTGGCAGCCACACGACCTGTGACGTGGCGTGGTGCCGGGGAGCTGCTTCAGGTCAACTGGGGCAAGGTGGCTAAAGGGATGTGGTTGGTGTAGCGCTACTTTCGCTTGGTGTTCAGTTCTATGGCATCGCGGCAGAGCAAGATTCCCAGGCTAGAGCGTGCAGTGCAGCGGTCATGCCCAACCTCGTGCATGTCGATCGTGTTGAAAATATATCGGTGTCGATGCTTATTCCCATTTTGGAGCGGCGTAAGATTCGAGGGATTCTCATCGGTGGCGGAAGCCCATGTCAAGGGAACTCAGCATTAAACAAGCAGCGCCGAGGTCTCCAAGATCCTCGATCCATGCAGCCTGCATTGCTTGCTAAGTTGTTGCATGATGTGCGTGAGCATCCGGCGACTGCAAACATTGATGTTGTGGGGTTCCTTGAGAATGTAGCATCGGCTCCGACTGAGGTCATTCAGCGCTACTCGGAATGGATGCAATGCAAGCCCATCTTGATGAACGCTGCTGCTTGTGGTTGGATTGCTAGGCGTAGATTGTTCTGGTTGTCAGGGCGGCAGGGGGGCTTAGATCCGAGCCGTGACAGGCCCCCTGACAACTGGGAGTGGCAACCGACAGATGATCTGTACGCGGGCCGGCTTCACTTCAAGGGCTCCAAACCAGTACCACCTCGGGTTCACTTTGAGCAGGCTTTCGCTCCTTTGTTTGACCCAGGTGACGTCTTGAAGGGAGCTGCGCATCCTATGCATGTGTTTACACGGGAATTCTTCCACCCAGCAGATCACGTTGGACATGTGTCGGCAAAGGCAGCTTCTAGGTTCCAGTCCGATGCTCGTCGCTTCCCACCGGGAGCTTACGAGGAGGGAAGCCTCCTCTGGCGGGGCGAGGAGTGGCGAGTGCCATCGCCTTCCGAGAGGGCCATGATCATGGGCCTTCCGCTTTCAGCATCTGCGGCGATTAGTGAGTCAGAGCCTCGAAAATCCCAGATCAGGAACTCGCTCATCGGTAATAGTTTTCACTTGCCGTGTGTGGTGTGCCTCCTTAGCATGCTGATCTGTGTATGTGAGTTCAAGCCTGCGCTTGGAAGTTTCAGTCCGCCCGATACACTTGCCAAGAAGTTGCATCATACTTTGTGGGAGCCGGGGTTCTTGGAGAACTTCCCTGGACTCCTAAACCCTCCTGAAGTGGTGCAGCTGATGAAATCACAACTTGCAGAATTCCCCGTGCCGTCACAGGTCTGGTGTCAGGTGGAAACAAAGCTTGCCAGCTGTGATCTTCCCCTGTTACAGGCCTACACTGCCTTTCAGCGCGGTAGAGGAGAGACTTGGGAAACTTTGCACCCGCAACAGCTGAGAGCTCGTGATAGAGCAAAGATTTTCGTGGGCAATACGGGTCAGTGCTACCCCTCCGACTCTTCTAAGGGTTTAGACTTCCTGTATCCCCGGGCCTCGGCAAGGATGAACACATTTGCCAGGCTATGCAGGCAGGATCCCCTTTTCAAGCCCACGCATGGCCTGAGGATGACGTGGGTTTTGTTGCTCATTCTTTGAGCGTATGGGGCCCAGACCTTCCTTTGCTGGCCCAGCGCCAAAGACGTGCCATTTCGCGCCTGGCCAAGGCAGTGCAGCCACTGCACGTAGCCCTCGATGCATTTCGTTCTACTTCTTCCAAGAAAGTTGCAGGGTCCAAGAATGCTGCTATGATTGCTTGTGTTTCGGCTCTCTTGCGATGGCCCGATTTTACTCAGGCTGCTAGCTTCATTCAGGGTTTCCCAATTGTAGGCCCGGTTGATGCCTCAGGGGTGTTTAGGCTAGTCCCCCCTTCCGACGACGCGGGCGAGATGCCTGATGATTGGCTCGCTCGTGAGGGTGTTGAGGTCGTGGATGCCTTGCTCCGACGGGGACCGCCCAGGAACCACGAAACTATCCTTGATGTCACCTCTGATGAGATTCAGAAGGGATTTTGCAGTGAGTTCATGACACGCCAGGAAGTGGATTTGAAGTTTGGCCGAGGCCAATGGCGCCCATTGGAGCGCTTCGTAATCCAACAACCCGATGGGAAACTTCGCGTCATAGATAATGCCCGCAAGACGGGGCACAATCTACATACCGTCATGTGGGAGACTATCCACACGACATCAGTAGACTTCATTCCATCCTGCACTCGTGACTCCCTTAAAGCTCTGGATCCGACAGGAGAGGATGATCGCCCTCCGCAGCTTGATTGG